CCCCAAAACCCCAAAACCCCAAAACCCCGGACTGGTCAAGAGAGATTGAGAGAGGGGATTTACTTAAGATTGTTGTTTAAGCATGATGGGTTAGGGGTGAATAGACGGATGGTGTGGGGTTTTGGGTCCATTGAGTTAGCTGACTGGCAGCTGTGCGAGCTGTCTTGGATTTGTTGGTTCATTAGTCTTTGTCTAGAGGGGGGTATGTGCTCGACTTGGTTTCTTATGGTGAATGTTACTTCTGTTCCTTTTGTTTCTTCTGAGGTTAGTTCTATTGTTCCTCCAAGGGCTTCAACGAGTTTATTTGCATATGTTGAGTCCAAGCCCAGTGCCTTTGCCATTGATATTTTTATCATCCTGGTCGAGTTTACCGAAGATCTGGAACAAGTTCTTTTGGTTTTCCTTTGCAATCCCAATTCCAGTGTCTTCGACTATGAACTTAAAGTAAGAATGAGACTCGAAAGTTTGCATTTCCAACTCTCTGAGCTCTCAAATTTTGACAGAGATGCCTCCTCATTGTGTAAATTTGAAACAATTAGAGATCAGATTTATGAGTATTTGTTTCACTCTTCCAATATCAGAAACAGCAATGGTTTCAGGACATCAGTTGATATAAGAAATCTCAAAGTCAAGCTTCTTTTGGGCTCATTGGAACTCAAAAATATAATCTATTTCGTTCATCAATTCTTTGAGCCTGAATGAGTCAATGTTCAATGAAAATGTTCCACTCTTTATCTTGGCGAGATCAAGGATATCTTCAACTAAGGACAACAGAGTTGTAGAAGAGATAGAAGCGATCTTGTGGAATTTATTGAACATCTCGTCTGATTCCTGAAGTCTACCATCGCCTCTATTATTCACTGCTAACTTCTGCAAGTTCTGATATGAATTTTTCATAAACCCAATGGAGTGTTTAAATGCGTTCAATGGAGTTCTAAACTCATGAGAAACACTCGAAAATATCAGGTGAAGTCACTTGTTGATGGCTTTCTCATGCTCAAGGTTCTTGACATGAGTCATGTCAGTGAACACATGCATTCAGGCTTGCTTGTCTTCTTCCCATTCGACCATGATTGTTTTGACTGTGAAATACTTTTCATCAGAGTCAGTTCTGGCTACTATAATAGATGATAAGAAGATTTCTACTGAAAAATTACTTTTTACTTCGCTTGAGATTTCTTGGTTGGTCTCTATTGCTGATTTTGTTTGATTTTTCAAGAATTCAGAAATATCAAATAGTTCTTTCTGATGTTTCTCAGAATTGTGACTAATTTTAAATTCCATATTCAGATTAAGAAATTCAGATCTTTCTTGGTCACCTTCGAAAAATTCTTTCTTTGCAGTATTGTTAATAAATTTAACAGTATTTTGTTTCAGCAAAGAGTCAAAGGACTCGATCATAACTGATTCTGGAAATACTTCGAGCAACTTTCTAATAGTCTGAAACAAATGCTGGATTTTTATATTTATTTCAATAAAACTCAAAACAATTTTGGACAATGTAATTGTGATTATTCATACACATATAACCTCAAAGAACAAACTGAACCAAAACATAAAGGTCATTGTTCCATAAGCATAACAAATATTAACAACATAATAAAGTTTGCACATGAAATATACTTTCATGATTCTTCTCCATTCTAAACAGAAAGCTATGGCAATGATGATAAACAGCATGTTAATGACGCTCCAGCCTTCAAAGTGTTCATAGCGTGGCTTATCGACACTCATAGCTGTTGAGATTGTACTAAAGAATGAAAAATAGATAATCAGACCAGCATAACTTTTCTGAGTTTTTTTAACAAACAGATTAATGCATATATACCCCATTCAGGCAAGAGGGAAGATAAAATAATGTGAACTGTCATCACTCAGGCCTGCAAATATTAAAACTGTGGCTAATAGAACATAATACAATAGTGACTTCCAGATATAGTTCCAACAAGTCATTGTGTATGCTTGAAAATACTCATTCTTCACTTCTTGCAGTTCAGGGTTAGTGGTGAGGATTTCCAACTCCTGCCAACATTTCTTGATATCAAAAATAATTTCAAACCCTATTGGTTTAGAGAAGTATCTTACTTGAAAGAATTCCTACCATACCAGCCAAGATTTCTAATGCTGAGGGTGTTGGAGGATCTTCTTTGCCTCTTTTACTATATTAGGATTACTATACAGCCTAGATCTTAACAAAACGATACAAACAAAGCGCATTGTTATTATAAGTTCGGAGTTCCCTGTGTTTTGAATCTAAGTTTACACAAAGACATATTCTGACATGAGAGCTAACTCATTTGAAGAACATGAAGCTATTGTATTCTAATACCAAACCAGCCTTTAAATACATAAAGTTCATCTTGAAGTTCTCTATTAGCATCTTATTCATAATAATTTATAATCTTCAACTCCACACTCATCCCACGGGGTTTTGGGGTTTTGGGGTTTTGGGGTTTTGGGG